CACAAGACCTGGGTGTAGCTGGAAAGCCTAGCAGGGGACAGAGTTTAGGCCTTCCTAATTCTTGTGTGCAAAACATCTGAAGTTCAAACACATCTTCATGCTTCCTAAAAAAACTTCCTTCAATAGAGGGTAGTGTCCTATGTGGTTTGATTAACACTAATCAATATTAGCAATGGTTGCAAAGACCAAGCACCAGGAGAACATGCACTGGTGTTTAATAAAGCAAAAAAAAAATAATAATAATAAAATAATACCTATTTATTTTTAGTGGAAAGGCAGATATACAGAGAGGAAGATCTTCTGTCCATTGAATCACTCTCCAAGTGGCCACAACAGCTGGAGCTGAGCCAATCCGAGTCCAGGAGCCAGGAGCTTCTTCTGACTTTACAATAAAAATAAATAAATCTTAAAAAATCTTTTTTTTTTTTAGGGCCCGGCACGGTGGCGCAGTGGCGCAGTGATTAAGGTCCTCACCTTGCACGCCCGGGATCCCATTTGGGCGCCGGTTCTATCCCGGCGGCCCCACTTCTCATCCAGCTCCCTGCCTGTGGCCTGGGAAAGCAGTCGAGGACGGCTCAAAGCTTTGGGACTCTGCACCCGTGTGGGAGACCCGGAAGAGGCTCCTGGCTTCGGATCGGCATAGTATCGGCCCGTTGTGCTCACTTGGGGAGTGAATCATCGGACGGAAGATCTTCCTCTCTGTCTCTCCTCCTCTCTGTATATCCGCCTTTCCAATAAAAAAAATAATAAAAATAAATCTTAAAAAAAAAATCTTTTTTTTAAAAGCTTCTCACATGGATGCTGCGACGAACATATACAGAGAGAAGACGAGACAGAAAGATCTTTCGTCCATTGGTTCATTTCCTAGGTGTCCTCAATGGCCGGAACTGAGCTGATTTAAAGCCAGGAGCCAGGAGCTTCTTCCAGGTCTCCCACTTGGGTGCAGGATCCCAAGGCTTTGGGCCATCCTCGACTGCTTCCCAGACCACAGGCAGGGAGCTGGAAGTGGAGCAGCTGGGACACAAACTGGCACCCACATTGGATCCTGGCGCATACAAAGCAAGGATTCAGCCACTGAGCCATTGTGCCTAGCCCATAAATAAAACTTAAAAAAAAAAAAAAGTAAGAGAACCAAAAACCAGGGTTTGTTAATTTGTATGTTGTTTTATGAAATGCATCAGATCTGTCAAAGGGGGGAGTCAGTACGATGAATCCATCACTCAGTTAAAAAGTGAAAAATGCAAATTAGTTTTAAAACTGGCAACACACACACACACACATCCCTGTGAAGTTTCTTTTTGAACATACCACATTGAGGTTTCAGTCTCAGCTCGTGCACTTTCTCTCTCTCTCTTACAGACCCATTGCCTGGAAGTCACCTCCTCCCGTGCACAGGTGAGGGGCCACCATAGGTACCTGCTCAGGTGTCAGATCTCAACTCTGGGGACCCCAAGTGACTTGGAGCTCAGTTCATCTTGGGCGGTGTGAGCCAATGTTCTTGAGATGTTTGTGCTCGTTACTGGGCACGACAGACATATCCTGTGTGGTTCATCTTTGGTCTCAAGGCAGGAAAAAAAAATAAGGCAAGGTCATTCAAAGGCAACTTTGGCAGGAATATTGCCAAGAGTGAGGGCCCTTCTGGGGTGACCAGAGCAAGAGTACTTTGCACAAGTGCAAGTTGAGGGTTGTACAGATTTTCCTACTTGGAAAATGGGACCAGCTGATCAACGGAAGAAGTAAAAAGCAACTCTATCACTTTTTTCTCCCTTTGAGATAACGGGTAAAGCAGGTGCGCTGTGGTGAGAGCTGTCCAAAGCGGGAGCAAGACCCTTTGCCTCGTTTGATTTAGTGAATGCTCAGTGACATTCCGTTCTTTAACTTAAAAGCTGTATTTATTTAAAAATTTTTTATTATCATTTTTAGAATTTATATTTGTCTTTATGGGAAACATGTTTTTACAGAGAGGAGAGACAGAAAGAAAGATCTTCCATCTATGGGTTCACGTCATGGCCAGAGCTCAGCGATCTGGAGCCTGGAACTTCTTTTGGGTCTCCCACGCAGGTGCAGGGTCCCAAGGCTTTGGGCTGTCCTCGACTGCTTTCCCAGGCCACAGGCAGGGAGCTGGATGGGAAGTGGAACAGCCAGGATTAGAACCAGTGCCCATGTGGGATCCCAGTGTTTGAAAGGGGATGATTAGCCAGTTGAGTCACTGCACTGGGCCCGAAAGGATGCTTCCCCTATACAGACAGTTGCAGACAAAAAGATTTCAAACTCTGTGACTCTGCAAGCATACATCTCAGAAAGTTAATGTTGATGTTTCAGAAGTAGCTGAGAGTAGATTGTGTAGACGTTGTATTATTTCAACAAAGTTCACAGATGTGAATACATAAGGTGAAATACTAAACTCGGGCAGTGGTCCTGGAGCCCTGGCAGAGGATCACGCCTCTGCTGTTCTGTAGCAGGAGAGACCTGCGTGTCCCCTAGGCGTTCTCCATCCTATGATCGAAATAGTTCATTAAACCAAACCCACGTGAGAACAAAACAAGCAGGGGTGGAAAAAACCTAAATCCAAAAACGGCAATCCTCCAATCAAAATAAGCAACCTCTATTTTTATAATCCACCAAGACTATCAGTCTTCGATATTTTTATAAGCACTGTTCTGATTTCCTGTGCCCTCCTAACCTCCAAGGCCGCGGCTCCAGTGAACTGTTTTTCCCTTGATGACTAGCTTGTAGGTCATGTTGGGAATGCAGGGGTGAGGACATGAAGGTGACTGTCGGGGTGACGCCAGGCTGGGAGGGGTGTGGCTGCCACACCTGGCACCCCAGGAGTAATTCCTGTGTTAGCTACACACAGCCACATGGCACATGCTGTGGACACCCGTTTATGAAGTCACACAGGAACACGAAAACTTCCAGAAGCATCGTCAGAGAGCAAGAATTCCAATCCCCAGGGGAGAAGGTGCTTAAGCTTCAGCTAGGAGAGGATTACTTAGTGGCTTTCCCCAAACAATTCTTGAGATCCTGTAACTGGAGCCTTCCTGCTGAGTGGCAACAGTGTTTCCATTGAGAGGAAGTCTTGGCTGGCTCTCACACTGCCCCATTCACCAGAGAAAACCCCGTTCACCTGCCAGTGTGACGGCAGGCACAGGGGCAGACACAGGTGTCCCCCCCGCAGCCGGCCTGAGGTGGGGAGGCGTGCAGATTTGCGCCTGGACCCCATGAGGAGGCTGTCAGCTGGGACAGCTTGCAGGAGTGGGGAGAAGCCCAGCCCAGGCGGCAATAAGTGTCCTGTGCTCCCCTCTGCCTGTTGGTGGCAGAGAACAGGACTGGGCCAGGTGGGGCTCCGACCTCATTGAAGACCCAGTGCTCCAGGGGTCCAAGCACAGGTGTACCACGCAGGAACTGGCCCGTTCAAGGCAGATGTCCTTTCTGAAGCCACTTCCCTGTTCTGGAGCCCTCAGAGCTGCAACCTGATGGCCACCTCGTGTGGGGACAGTGAGTGACTGGGTCTCCCAACTGTCAGGTTCCTGGAAATGCAGCTACCAGGGTCAATTTGCAAAGGCCCCCCCTTTTCCTGAAGGGGAAAGAGAAAAACCAAACAACCATTGACATCACCCAGGCTCTAAACGCAACTTCCTCCACCCTTCCCCCTTGTCACAGGCGCACTTCTGTACCTACACAGGACATGCGGAAAAGGGACACATGATAAATGTCCTTGTGTGATCCACAGATGCTGACTGAATCACCCACGGAAGCTGGTTCCCACCTGCTGGCTTGCTACTCCCCAGCGCCCAAGAGCCAGGGGCTGCAGCCGGCAGCCGAGGTCGGGAGGGCACACCGTGCAGGGTCCCAGCAGGGGCAGTGGGAAGCAGGGGCAGGGATCAGACCCAGCTACGGAGCGGGTGACTGTGTCGGACTGTGAGGCCAAGCACGGGCTTCCGAAGGCCTTTGGAGCTCGGCAGAACCGTGTGAAACCGCGAGAACCACTTCCCCTGCCGCCCCTCGCGTTCCCACAGACGTGTCACTGCTCACACAGGGGTGGAGGGCCAGGCCAGCCGGCTGGTCAGAGCCCGGCGCAGCTCCGCGTCTGGGAGGCCAGCTCTCACCATCTGCCTCGCCGATGGCGTGGCCAGCACGAGCTGCACACAAAGGCCGCCAGTGAGGCCCTGGGCGTCCACTGAATGCCCCGACTGTGCTCAGCGAGGCCGCGCTGGGCGAGGAGGGCAGTGTGGCATGAGGCCGGCCTTTCCGAGGACAGACAGGCAGCATGAGGCTGGCCAGGGATCTTCAATTGTTCTTCTGAAAGCAGGAAAAAAAAGATTCCTTCCGTCCAGGGCCTCAGCTTTCCTACGTGTGCAATGGGTGGGCTGGCTTCCTGCATCGGGAGTTAGGGCTAACTTCCAGACAGCCGGGGAGGCTGGGCACCCTCAAATCCTTTGTCCTTGTTGTTTTCTTCTCTGCGAGGGCCCTGGCTGACCCGAGGGGCACTCCCGGGGGCCGCGGCTCACGGCCGGCCTGGCCAAGGCTGGGCTTCCTCCCGAAGGGGGCCCAAGGTGGCCGCCTGCCCTGCTCTCTCCCGCGTCCGCCTCCGGCCCTGCTGGCCCCCCACACGACGCCCAGAGCGCGGTGTGCGGAGAGCGTGACCCCCATGCTCCCCGGGCGCCCAGCCTCGTCGTGTGCCCCACAAAGTCCCTCTCCTTGGGGCTCCCTGGGCCTTCATTTCCTGCCCACTGCCCGCTTCCTGAGTGTTTTCCTTGAGGAAAAAGATGGTCGGGACGTCACGACGCACGCTCTGGCGCCGCGGTGACATCACGACCGCGCTCTCCTCCATCGCCCCCCCGGGCGGCTCGCAGGTCCGCGACGTCACGTCCGCGCGCACGCCGCCGATGACGTCACGCCCCGGGATGGCGTCACGCGCCGCTCGCGGGGCGGGGCCGGCGGAGGGCGGCGCTTCCGGTCGGCGGAGCCGGGCGGCCGGGCGGCGGCGGAGCGGCGGGCGCGGGGATGGCGGGCGCCGCGAGCGAGGCGCGCTTCGCCGGGCTGTCGCTGGTGCAGCTGCACGAGCTGCTGGAGGACGAGGCGCAGCTGACGGACATGGTGCAGAAGATGGAGGAGGTGAGGCGGGGAGCGGGCCCCTCGCGGCGCGGCTGGAGGGGCTGAGGACCCACAGCTGGGTTATGGCGGAGCTCGGGAGCGGGGGCCGGGGGAGAAGGTTCGCGAAGCCGAGGGGCTTCTCAGAGCGTCTTCATTCAGGCGTCCTCGCGGCCGGGCCGGGCCGAGGGGGTCGGGGGGTGCGCGGCCGAGGCCCCCTTGGCTTGGGGGGTCTGCCCGGGGAGGTGGCAGAGGAGCCCCGCTTCCTCACGGCGCCCCTTTCCTCGTGGAAACGGAACGTCGACATTGCTTGGGGGGGGGCTGGCTTTGCCCCCCGACCCCCAGTGGGCTCCGGGTTTCCGGGGGACTTGAGTGGGGACCGCGAGTTGACCCCTGTGGTCGGCCAGGGCTGCCCCTTCGGGGTTCACTGGCTTCCCCTTGCGGGTTCGCGGGGTCTGCTTCCTCCTTTTCCTGCCCTCCAGCCCTCGGGGCGCCCTCTTCCCCTTGGGCCCCGACTCCCCCGGTTGGGGGCACCCACGCTGAGCACCCCTCCGCCCACCTGCCGCCCGCTCGGCTTTGTCTCAGATGGAGCCTTCCCACGCCCACTGCGCCCGTGCGGGGGACTTTGGCCGTCTTCCGCAGGAGGGGATTGTCCCCCCGCCGAGCCAGCCCCCAGAAGGGGGGTTCGCATGGAAGGCGCTCAACAGATCATTGTGTGAGCCACAGAGAGGCCTCTGTAGTCAGGGGGCGCAGCCTCCCGGCTAAGGCGCCCCTTGTGTTGGCGGGGCCCAGGCGGCGTGGCCGGTTTACCCCGGAATGGGCTCCAGGCGGCCCTCTTTATGCCAGAGGATAATAAGTGACAAAATCCATCTCTCTTGCCTGAATGGGAGTTTCATGTCTCCGAAGAAAGAAAAGCTTTGCTTCGTTTCTCCGCTGTTCCGTTGCTGGGAGACCTTTTGTTGGCTGTCAGAGGGGCATGTTTCCAGTTTAATGATGAAATGACAGGTGTGTTTTTCTCCTGTGACACCACTACAAGCTGTTTCAGTAATAGCAGAGCAGTGGCTTTTTTTTTTTTCTGCTGGGACTTGAAATAAACTTTGTGGCAAGCAGAGGACTGTGACTCAGGCTGATTCAGGTGTCTGCCGCGGCCGGCATCACTGGGAATTACTATTTGAAAGGAAAGGCAGACGAATCTAGCGGGAATGGGGTTTTTTGAGTAAAGCTGACCTTGTCCGTTGGAGTGCCCAGCAGAAATGCTGAGGACTGACTCCGGCTCAGCTGGCCACGTGGTTCCAGGTAGTCACCACGTCGTTTGCTTTTCTGGGTGTAGTTCTTTTAAAACAAGGAAACTGAACTTGAAAACCAAAATACCTCGGGGCAGTGCTGTCGGCTAGGGCCACACTGTGCAGGTCCTGCTGCCCGGGTCACGCCTGGCGTGTCCCTGCAGGAGCGGGGTGGAATGGCACTTCCTTCGGCGTGTTTGTGAGACGCGGTTGAGGAAGCTGGGACAGCTGGGACTCTGCTCTTGGCCAACTGGAGCTTTTCTGTTACGTTGAAGGAACACAGTCTAGACTGGGGGCGACTGCTTCCCCTGCCTCTCCAAGCATCCGTTGGGAAGGGTGCGGGGCGCCTGTGCGAGGAGCTCTGTGGGCTGGGGCCCTGCCTGCTAAGCACCGCCAGTGGTCCTGGCTCGCACCTGCGTCCTCCCGTGCTGGCCGAGGCGATTAGCACGAGGCCTTCTGCACGTGCGAGTCGCTCTGATTTCAGGAGTTTTGAGTACACTTTGATTTGCCATCAGCCTAAGAAATGTGTACTTTGGTGTGCTCCGAACGCTCGCATGTCTCCGGAAGCAAGCGTAAAACGGTGTGTGGCCCTGGCCTGCCACAGCAGTAGCCCTGGACCCCAGCCGAAGGCTTTTCTCATGAATTGGCAGGAGGAGGAGTTCTAAATTGTAGAGTGAGGCTTCTCGAGCCTCAGGGGATGTTTTGTGGCGGCTGCGAAGTGTGGCTGGGTTTCCCAGGGCTCCGGCGCCCTGCCTGGCACGCCGCTCGCTCAGTTTTAATGGTGGTGTGTGAGTTCTTGCAGTGCAGTGGTGTTGAGGCTACAAACCGCCTCGTTTTCTGGGCCTGAAGCCTTGGTGGAGTTTTCCTAGGCCTGGTTCCTTCCGGGCTGCCGTCCTCACTGCTCTGATCAGCTTTGCAGTTTGTGGTGGGTTGACATTTCACGTGCACATTTTGGGTTGTTTTCACCCAGCAGTGGATGGTGCCTTCAGCCGGCTGCATGAACCCCGTTGGACGGGCAGTGCATTCCCTTAAAAGGAGGTGTGGCTCAGGGCTTAGTCAGCTGCATCCACCTTTGCTCTGGTGCTTTCCCGGGGGTGCAGGTTCGGGGTCTTGGTCTCCATGGCTGGGAGACTGCCCACCTGAAGAAGTGCGAGGGCCGCAAGAACAGGGAGAAGAGCTGTGGTCTGCAGGAGCTGTTTGCCAAAGGCGTGTTCTGCTCTGACTGGCGTGTGAGCGTGCGAAGCTTCTGCATGAATCATCCCGGCGCGTTGCAGTTCTGGGCCTCGCCGTGAGTCCGGGGCTGCTCCGAGTCGGAAACGAGCCATCGTTCCTGTACATTCTGACTTGGGAGGGCTTTAGGCTTTGGGGTTTAAAACTCTCCATGGACCTATCACTGTAACCCTTGAGTGAAAAATGAAATCTGTGCCAAGGAATATTTTCAGAAACTCAGATTTATCTCATTTTATCTTTTTTTTTTTTTAAGATTCATTTTAATTGGAGAGACAGAGTTAGAATCTTCCATCCACTGTGTCACTTGTCTGCAGTCGGGAGTCTGGAAGCTCTTCTGGGTCTCCCATGTGGGTGCTAGGGCCCACGACTTAGCCATCCTCCGCTGCTTTCTCCGCTGGGGGATGCATTGGAAGTGGAGCAGCCAGGATTTAATCTGGATCTCATATAGAATGGCACTGAGAGGCACTGTTCGGGCTCTCTTTTTATCTTTTTTAAGTTGCTTCATTTATTTGCAAGCAGAGACAAATACTTGTTCACTCCCCCGGTGCCTGCAGTGGCTGAGCAGGAGCCGGGAGCTCGGACAGTTCAGGTCTCCCACGTGGCCGGCAGGAGCCCACCTCCCTGTGCCTTAGCAGCGAGCTGGAATCGGGGGTCTGAGCTGGCGACAGACCCAGGTCCTGCAGTGGAAGGCGCGGTGTCCTCGTGCCAGGCCGGATACCCGCCCCTTGGTGCTTTGAAAGGAGACGTTAGACTGAAGAAAGAGCAGCTCCGGTGTGTGGCTTTATCTGGGTTCTTCAGACTGTTGGGGTTTCCTCGCTGCCCTGGGGCTCTTGTGCGGCTGGGCACAGTGTGAGCACTCGCCAGTGACTTGTTCTCCGGAGAGGTTTTCAGGACTGGTAGATGGTTCAGGAGAAGTTGGATTGCATGCTTGAGTGCCCTTCGCTGTGTTTACTCAAGTTTCAGCAGGGGGCGGTGGGCAAGTGGGCGCAATGGCCGGAGACGGACATGGCCTTTGATGCCAGCGGCCACGACCTCCAGCAAAAATTCAGCCTTTCCAATTGTGTCCTTGTTGGCAACGAATGGCATAATAACTCACTCTGTAGGGATGTTGGGCGGATTAAATAAGTATGTGAGCTGTGCTGCGTGGTGGCCAACCCAGAGCTGACCCCATCGTTGGCTACTACTGCTGAAATGTCCGCCCACACAGGGGAGTCTGTTAAATACATTGATGCCTGTGGAGGTACAGAGGGTAGTGGAAGCCCAGGTCAGGAGGTGGGGGCAGCCACTGTGGCCAGATGAGGTTTGTGTACATGGCGGGGAGAATGAGAGGAAATGTGGCTGCTGAGGGCTGGCAGTGTGAGGATGCTTGCTCCGGAGGACAGCACAGCATCCTGGGTTGGCAGGGGAGACTCAGGAAGGCCTGAGGTGGGAGACGGAAATGAAAACAACGAGGGGAGGGTTTGTATGAAGGTTTTGGGAGAGGGGGTGGGATGCCGCTCTGTCTGAGATACCCTATCAGCTTTTCCTCCAGTGCCCCACCCCCTCCTAAAAAGACTGATTTATTTGAGAGAGTTGGGAAGGAAGACAGCTCTCCGATTGCCTGGTCCAGTCTCCAGGTGACTGCAGGTGCCTGGCTGGGTGGGGCTGGAGCCAAGAGGCCAGAGTTTCCGGGGCTCCTGGGTGAGTGCAGGGGCCCCAGGACTTGGGGGGGAGTGGTGTGGAGCACCTGGGTTTCACTCTGCGCTTGCTCCAAGATGCCCGCTCCACCCACTGTGTCACAGTGCCGGCCCCTTTGGGATGTCACCAGCTTCCTGTGTTCCTGACTTTGGGAGCTCTGGTTGGTTGTCACAGACATGTGCCCGTTAGTGCTGAGGAGTGAAGGTGCCCGGGCTTCTAGGGCTGTGGGCATGTGTCGGGGGGAGCGGGGGAGGACCTTGTTAGGGTGATAGTGCCGGCCGGTGGTCTGGGGTGATCTGGAACGAGCAGGATGTTCAGCTTGGAGGTGGCATTTGCGGCCGCTTCCTCCGAGGCTTATTGGCACAGAGGACGGTGCCAAAGGCCCCTATGGGTGAGTCATGAGTTGGGGATGAAAAGAGTGGCCTTGGAGGACTGAGAAGCAAGCCCGCTGACCTTGTCATCGACAAGTGTTGGTGACTGACTGGCCCGAGGAGGAGCCCACTGCTGACGGAGCTGTGTGAACCCTGTCCATCATGTGACTGCACCTGAGCTGGGGAAGGGCAGATGGTGGCTGCAGAAGGTTGCTGAGGGTCCTCGGCCAGCTCCGCAGAGCACGGTTGGGCAGGAGGACCTGCGTGCCACTGCTTCCAGGGGAAAAAGCCACTGGCGCTCCGAGCGCCCAGGCAGGAGTGCCCAGTGCTTGGTTTCTGGGTTCCTCGTCCTTCTGGAGAGCTGTTGTAGCCGGCAGTGCAAAGGTGCTACAGGCAGGGTTTGTAGTGTCTGGGAGGGGGAGCAGGAAGGCAGGAGGTGGGTGTAGCCTTGTCTCCGGTCACG